AAAAAACATCTCTCCTCATCCAAAGAGACCAAGTCCACACCACTAGCACAGCTCTATCAGCTGGGCATATAGATCATGCGACATTACATGCATACCAACTTTTGGACAACAACCATCTTTATTCATAACCGGGGATCAATCCCGATCAGAATTTACAGCAAACCAAAAAAAAAAAAAAAAAAAAAAAAAAAAAAAAAAAGGCAATTCCAACACCACACCAACGGCTTTGGTTTCTTTTCTGCAGACGGCCCACACCGACATCCCTTCTCTACTCTGCCGCCGTCTCTTCTTTTGCCTCCGTCTTGGCCAGCCCTTACCGGTGTTGCCTCCGGATTTCCCACGCCACGAGCACATTTACTCCTCCATCTCCACTGCCGCATATGCGCCCTCCAAATCGAACATCACGGTGGCCTTCCCCTTCACTCCTTGTTTTCTGCCCTTAGCACGCTTACTCGCTCCGCATCCCTTATACATGCGTTGGAGCAGAAGCCAGCTGGGAGTTTACAGTGTTGCACCTCATTGTCCTGCTCTGCAGCCGTGCGACAAGTTTGTGACCCCCGTCATGGTTCCACACATGACTTCAGCGTATACTGACCTCATATCCGTTTGCACCGCCATTTTTTGCTCCACCGACCGCATCGGAAAGTTCAATGGAGCAAAACACAGAGGGTTGTTTGGTTGCGGTTCACTGGCCACCCGCACCAGTTATTTCTCTTGTGGGCTCGTTCAGTTCTGGAAGAGGTGAGCAGCCCGCGGGAAGAAGATGAAGCCATTCTCTCAGACAACAGAGATTTACAGAATCTCTCTCAGAAATCTTCTCTCAGACACGCAGAATTTATAATATTTTGATAATAATCATATGTGTTAGACTTTTCAAGGAATTAAATTTTTTTATTATTATATTATATTAAAGTTTAATATTTTGATAATAATCATATGTGTTGGACTTTTCAAGAAATTTCTTTTATGCTTGTTCTTAATGCATTAAAGTGTTATTATGAGGAAAAATAATCATATGTTTTGGGATTTTTCAATGAATTCATATGTGTTGGATTTTAAAGAATTTTTTTTGTGTTTGTTCTTAATGCATTAAAGTGTTATTATGAGGGTAAAACTTGGGGGTTGGGAGAAATTAATAAATGCTAATTTTTTTTTTTTAAATCAAAAAAATCAAAAAATTTAGATTGGAAGATTGGAGCTCCCACAAGGCTTGAGTTTAAAACCCCCATTTTACTTAATGTATAATGTAGATAAGAAAAGTAATAAAATAATTTGCTAGTACAATAATTGCCAAATGGGCTTATTGCATGTTGAGCAGGAAGCTGCATATACCAGGCCAATCCTTTGATTATGCGAAAGAGATAACATAGAATAATGTATGATGGTGATATGTAGGTCGGATTCGACTAGATTTTCCAACACAGGTAGAAAAACCATCTCTATATAAATCCAGCGATAGCTTCAACTTTGCAAGGCAAGTGAGAAAGAAATCTACACAAAACATTTGTCATAGTTAGATTGATCAGAGAAGTTTCTAGTTGTCCTCAAAGGCTTCCAATATTCGATTCAATGTGGAATGTTGGATCCTTTGAGGTCAATCGAAGACTTACTCTTCTTTGAGTTATTGACGTTCAAGCAATTTTCGTGATACAATAGTTTGCCAGATGTGTGGTCCAATCTCCATTTGAAACAAGTGGTCAAGTTTCTATCTGAAAATATTGTCTGGTATTGATTAGTCCAATAGCTAGCTCCAGTTCAAGAAGTGTCTTCTCAATAGAGGTGTCATGTGTCGTCTTATAAATAATTAGATTGATTGGAGAAGTTTTCAACTGTCTTCAAAGGCTTCCAATATTCCATCCAATGTGGATTGTTAGGCCTTTGAGGGTGACTGGAGACTTTACTCCTCTTTAAATTATTGACATTCATTTAGTTTTTAGGGTATACTTATTGTTAAACGCATGGTCCAATCCCCATTTAAAATATTGTCTGCTATTGAGTAGCCATTTGAGTTAGTCATAGCATTTTTGTTTTTAATTTTAAAAATTTGTATCAAATTGCTTGGTGCAACTTCTATTTATAGTTTATTAGACAGAAATAGTTTTAATAAGTTGAAAAAAAACTCATTACCAAAAGTTGGTAGAAAGATGCTTTTGATTTTTGCTTTATAATTATCAACTTTTAATTTATAATAAGTTGCATTAAATAGACTCAATAACAAAAAGTTTAGGGACTCAGATTAATTTTGGCCAAGAATGGGTTGTGTGGTGGAAATTGAAATTGAAATTGTGTATTGTGAGATTCATGTGTAGAATGAATTTGAATCACATGTTGATATTTTTGGGTAAATTTGAGTATATTTTTCAAGATTTGTAATATCCCTCATTAACTAGTTTAGCGAGTTTGTCTCTTTGGCCTCCAATTCAAAGGTATCTCCGCAAGTCTTCATTGGTCTTATAAATAGTTGGATTAATCGGAAAAGTTTTCAACTGTTCTCAAAGGCTTCCAATATTCTATTCGATATAGGCTATTGGGCCTTTGATGACAATTGAATACTTATTCCTCTTTTAGTTTACAGTAAGTTGTACTAAGGGAGTGTTTGGGAATCAAATATTGTAGTCAAAAACTTTAATGTCAAATCATTGTCTCTACTTTGTTATAGGTGTTTTTTTTTTGTAAAAAAAATCAATAGAAAAGTCTAAATAAACCCTAAATAGGCCCAATAGATAGCTTAACGGGTTTGTCCCTCTAAGCTCCAATGCAAAAGTGTCTCCTTAATAGAGGCGGCTTGTGTTGTCTTATAAATAATTAGATTGATTGGGAAAAGTTTTCAACTGTTCTCAAAGGCTTCCAATATTCTATCTAATGTAGGACGTTGGGCCTTTGATGGCAATTGAACACTTACTCTTCTTGGAATTATTGAAATTCATTCAGTTTTTGCTTTGGACCAGCACATGACTTCTAGTTGGGTAAAAATCTTTAGTGTGGTTCAAAATTAATCGATGTAGCGTTTTTAGATTGATAGTTCATAAATTATGGATTTTACAGGATTATCGTAAAAAAGTTTTGTTTTCATTCATTTTGTTTAAAAAAATATTAAAATAAATATAAAAAAAATGAAAGAAAACACCAAAATAAATATGATGCAATTATATGAATATAATTATCTAATCAACTTAATTTTTTATATGATTGATCTACTCAAATGTTGTTAAAAGCATGTTTAGATTGGCAATCTGTAAATTACGGATTTTACGGGACAACCATAATAAAGTTTTGTTTTTATATATTTTGTTAAAAGAAATATGAAAATAAATGAAAGAGTGAAAGAAAACACTGAAATAAAATATTATGCAATCATATGATTACATTTATCTGTTCAATTTAATTTTTTTTTGTGTAATTATTATTTTTTTTTTGGTGAAATTATAGATTTTTCTTTTTTTTTTTTTTGGTTTTTTTTTTTTTTTTTTAAATGAAAAAAAAAAAAAAAATGCTCTGAGCTGTCATCACGACATCCATGGGCCAAGGTTCTGGAATAATTGATTATCAGCCTAATTTAACTCAACCTAAAAGAAAAGACCCATCACCGAAACATCAATGAAACTCATTAACCACCCCCTACCGGGCCCAAGGTTCAATTAGAATATAACCCAATTTACATGCTGGACACTTATCATGCTCTTATTATTATCTTATCTTATTATAAACTATAAAAATTACCATGACAAATGACCATTGCAGGTCACAGACCAACTTCACGTGACAGATTTGGACTACATCATTATTCAACTCTTTGACCCTGATGAATCAACTATGTTCCATGCAGAAATTTTCATATGGAGGTGGAGCACATACATATGACTCTCGAGTCGGAATGTTTTAGAGTGCTAGTAATTGTAGAGGGATGAAGATGGACTTTGCGAATTGAAATATGAAATGATTATTGTACTTTAATTTTGTTAGAATTCAATTTCAATCATCTAAAAAATTATTCTGAAATCATTCTAAAAAAATTCACTTTAAAATATCCTAACTCAAGAATCACTCTAATGTGAGAGCCTCTACACATTTTGTATACAAATTTTTTATACAAGTAGTACCGCTCCTGATGAATTGAGCAAAATTTTAATGTCATGGTAATACTAATAATACGTGATATCACTAATCAATAATAAATTTATATATGGTATGTGAACACCTTTTTAGTTTAACTCTACCAACTCAGAAACTGATGGATCAACAATAATAACTCAAACTAATGCCTCTCTCAATTTCAAAGAGTAACTAACTTGTCATAATACATAATAAAGTAAACCATAAGAAGTAATTAAATGATAATAATATCACCCTTCCACTCAACTTTTTCTTGGGTAAATTAGCCTCGAATTAGAATTTTTTGGGCTTAGCCAACACACTTCCAGGGGATTCTATTTGCACCCAAAAAATCATTAAATAGGTCCAATTTCTCAATACAATCTATTAAATTATTTAAGATTATAATTTACTTTCAATACTTCTTAAGTTTTTTTCCCAAATTACCTTCAAGGAACATCCAAATAATAAATAAAAAAATCCCAAATTATACCACTTAAAAAAATTCTTTCAAAAATATTTGATGATTTGATATTTATTACTCTCTATTGTTTCAATTAGGATTTTTCCGAAAAAAAATAAAAGAAAGAAAAAGTGTTGTGTATTCAATATATTTATCCTATGATATGCTCATTGATGCTTTGAGAGTAGTCTCAAGATTAAGTAATTGATAAATAGTATATTTAAATTGGCCATATTTCTTGATATTAATTATTTTTTCTGTAATGAAAATTAAAGGATGAAAAATAATAGATTTATAATAATTTTTTAATGATTATATCCACAATTTTATATCATTTGTTGATGATTATGGCAGTTTATAAACGGTCATCCCCCTATTAGCCTGTAAATTTCACAACAAAGGGCTTTTCACCAAAACCCTCCGAAAACGAATCCCAAACCCACCGGAGCGAAGCTTCATGTACCACATCCATCTTCAAGTTCTGTCTCAAGTGTACTTTCTTGGAAAACAAATAAGGAGGGATTATATACTAGTGAGACATAAAAAATAAATAAATAATAAATAAATAAATTTACACAAATATTGAAGGATGCAATGCACCTCCACAACTTTTCACTTGCATCCTATTATATAATCACTTACGCCTTGTATGTTTTCGAATTTTTTTTTATTATTATTTTTTTTATCTATTGCATTGTGCTGCAATTTTCCTAACAAACGACCACCTTTCCAAAATTAGGTTCTTTTTCCATTCTCTTGCCCCATTTACATATTCAACAAAAAAAATGAAAAATACAGGAATAAAAAATTATAGTTTAATATTTATGGGAATATTTGCGAGGGACGACTTTTCAATCATCACAATAGTATTACCTTTGAGAGGGGCTTTTGTATTCGAGACCGGTGGTTTAATATATGAACTTTTGTTGTTGGCCGGTGTACTATTAGATGCTGAGACATTATGATTATGTGTTGTATATATATATATATATATTGTTGTTTGTTTATCCTTATGTATTGGGGGGACACGCATTGAAACTCGAACTCTCTTTTATATAAATGTGTAATGAGAAGTTGTTAATGGGATCAATAACCTAAGTGTTGTTGTATGTCTGACATTAAATTATGAGATGGTTATGTGATGGCCTGTGAGCCTCGTTCAGTTTGGAAGTTGTTTTGTTGAGAATGGGGAATCTGTGGCTTATTATGATTAATGTGGTGGTATCGTAAGGGTTGGATTATAAGGCCTGGGATGTGTTGAGTTTAAGGGAATATGAGACTTTAAAGTTTTGTGGAATTGGTGAAGTTATGTGAGAACGTCTGAGGAAGTGTGAGAATTGTATCTCGGGTTAGTGAGAATGGTACTGTGTGTGATGTTTAGCATTTTGGTTTTGTTGGTCTGTGAGTTTGTGGTGGTCCTATTGATTATAATGAGGTAGTATATGTGTTGAGATATTATTAGATATAAGATGGAGTACATGAATGTAAGAATAATTTGGTGGTTAGTTGTTAGAGGCATTCCTTGGGAGGAAGAATGGTTGTGTTCTCGATTAGTGAGTGTGGCATTGATGAAGATTCTTTTGTGTTTAGAGTTAAATGATTGTCGTTGACTATATCGGTCTAATGTTTGAAATGTTAGGATGTGCTCACCATATAGATACAGGAGTGTTGACTTTTTTCAGGAACCATGGGGTATGATCTAGTCAGGAGGAATCCGGGGTGATTCAAGGGATATAGGGGGATTTCGGGTAGAATTCCATTGGGGGTGATAGTGTTGGGAGACATGTTGGTGTTTGGTACCTGTAGACACCCCATTTTTGACCGACTTTAAGACTCAGACGTCACCAGTTGAGTGCTCGGTGATATTGCATATTGTGCTCGTTCTGAGGCTTCAGAGTCTCGGTTGCGAGCCTTGCCTCCGGACTTCGGGACTCTTTTGTGCTTTGCCTCGGTTTGCGAACCAAGTCCTATTTTCTCTGTTTTCTCTTCCCGGAGGGAGGGAGAGGTCTCGTAGATCATCTCTCAATGGCCGTAGGCTACGTTTCGTGGTTGTAGGCCATCTTTCCCGTTTGGAGCCTGGTTTTCGGTTTTTGGAGCCGTCGGCCGTGTGCCTCGGTTCGGGACCGCTTAACTATCTCCGTTTGGTCCGATTTTTGGCACACATCTTATTTCCTCCCTTTAGAGGAACACTGTGGCCCTGGAGACCACCTTCGTGGTCATACGCCACTTCCGGTGCCTAACAGCCTGTTTTCGGGGGCCCGAACCGCTTGTTTTGGCCCCCGAACCTTCGTTTGCATCCGTTTTGGTCCTTTTTTGGTAGAGACTCTATTTTCACTATTAGGGAGGTGGTAGGATGGTGGCTGGCCACCTATTCCCCTGAAAAGCCAATTTTCTCATTTTCTCTCTCCAAAACCCGATTTTTCTGACAGAAAGTTGGTTTTTCCCACTTTTAAGCCACATTTTCTGGCTTTTCATACCACCATTGTGATCTACTCATCTAGGAGGCCACCAATATGGGTAGGCAGACCAATAGTTCATCTTGACCCTTTTGACCCCTCTCTAAAAGCCAGTTTTTCTCTCTCTAGGGTCACATTTTCTGGTTTTTCTCTGCAGGTCTGTGTTCTACTTATCTGGGAGGCCACCTTTCTAGGTAGGCCGACCAGCAATTGTTCTTGACCCTTTTGACCCCTGTTCGGCCGACCAGGGGGAGTGGTTGGCCGGCCACTTCAACTGGCCGGCCTGCTTATTGCTTTTGTCCCCTTTGAGTGTGATCTAGTTGTGCCAGCTGGGGACCATTTGGTGCATCCTCCATACACGTGTATGGAGGATCTTTGAGGCTTCCAAGAGAATCTTTGGCCTCTCTTCTCTATAAGAGAGGCCCTCCTCTTCATTTGTAGAGGTTAGACACTTTTGATTAAGGCTCATCACCTCCCACCTCCATTGTTACTATTCCAAGCTCCAAAACCCTAACTTCTTTGCTCCATTTACACTACAACCCATAGCACCACACCATCATCATCCATTCCAGCACCTTGGAAGTCATTTGCAGAGGTTGAAAGCTCACCAACTTGGTCCAAAAGCTGCTGGAGGTCGGCTCTTCAAGGGTAAGTGTCCATTTTCCTTAAACTTGCATTTTTTTTTGTTTCATTACTTAGCTTCATTTTCAAGTATTTTTGGGCTTTATTATAAACTATAAAGTATCATATTTTGAGCTCCTCTTCAACTTTGTTTAAGGGAACTTTGCTGTTTGAGGTCATCTACTTCCCCTTACCCTCTATCTCTCCTTTAGGGCTATTTTTGCATCATACTTTAGCCTTACTTGTGAATATTTTCGAGATTTGTTATAAACTGGAAAAAGCTTTTTTTTGACCTCCTCTTTAAGTTTTCTTGAGGTCACTTTTCTGTTTGGAGTCATCTCATTCATTGCATGCTTCATTCCTTCATATTTAGGACTATGCATTAGAGCATTTGCATTGGACTTATTTTGGCCTCTTAGCCACTAAAATCTAGGGTGGCTTTGATGAGGTTTTGAGCTTTAAAATCATAGAGGGGTGACCCTCTCACCCCTCATTTTCTTTACTAGCATCATTAGCTTTCCAAAGGGGCTCTATTTTGCATGCATTGGAGTAACTTTTTGGGCCCAATTTTGTGAGTTTTAAGGTCTGCCTTAAGTCTGTCCAGGGCCCTTTTGATTATATTTTATGTCTACAATGCATGTGTAGAGCAATCCCATCCAAGGCCTTTCAAAGGGGCCTTTCTTTGAATGCTTCCTTGACTAATTTCAGTGCCAATTTTGTGAGTTTTAGGGCTTTCATAACTCATTTCCAGAGTTGGTTTGGTCATGCTAAGTGTCTATCTTGTATGTGCTTAACAATCCCTTGCATGGCCTTCCAAAGAAGCCCCTTATTTTTCCATGCATTGGCTGCATTTCAGTGATTATTTGGGCATATTTTGGCATGTTTTATTCACTGTTTTGGGCTGGTTTGATGAGTTCTCATTTGCTTCATATACATGCCATGTAAACCATGCTTGCTAGCCAATGTTGCATGCTATTTTAGTCCATCATGTTAGCATCTTTTGGCCATGCTCTAAACTAGAAATGTGCATGTTTTTGGGACTACCTTGGCTCTGTCTTTTGACTTCATGATCAATAATGCTTTCGTTGTATACTTGTGGTTCAATGCATTGGACTAGTTTTAATTTGTTCGGGGCTTATTCCATGCATCGGGTGCCAATTTCCATGTTTCGGGAACCATTTGCATCAGTGTTTCAGTGCTGGAATTACATGCTTTAGGCCATCTTTCATCATTGCCATGATTTGGTAAGAGTGGCATTTGATGCCTTAGGTTCGGTCCTCGGTTTGCGTGCATGTGTGCACGCATTTCGGTTGTCTCTTTTTCATCTAATGGCCACTGATGTGAGTGTGGTTGAGGTCCACTCATGATTGGTGTAAGTCCATCATGCATTGTGTGTGCCTTTCAATTCATAGCATTGTGTAAGCTAGGTTGTATGTTAGAGTATTGTGTATACCATTTCATAGCATTACGTATGCTAGGTTGTAT